CCCACTCCAATGGCGGAAGGCTGTGCCATGCTGGGCCTTCTTGCAATCATTCAAATTTGAGGGCTTATGGCGCTTGAAGCCCTGGCTCACACTACCAGTAGTGTGCAACTTTTGGGCTTGGTCTGCCTTTCAGGGGTGCCAATGCAAAGGATGTTCACATCCAATGATCTAATGTTGATGCGATTCAGAATCTTGGTGCGATTTTTGTTTTGACATGTTTAGAAAGTCGCAGGAGCACTGGCTGAAGGGCTAAGGACAACACAGGGGCGACTTTGTGCCAACAAAAGGGTTTATCCAGGCTGGTTGGGTTGACCGGGTTGCGCACCCAGTTCTTTTTGCTGTGATTCAACCCAGATGGAATACAAGGTCAAGGCCGCCTTGCCAACGTTAGGAGCCATCACCGGTTTACATCCAATACTTTTTTTCCGCAAGACAGGGGGTGTGTCATGTCCAGCATCCATGGCTGCGATGCTAGACGCATCAGCAATGGGTGTGGTGTCGCTGTTCAAGCTCAAATTGGGGATCTAGCATGATCTAGCTTTGTGTACTATTCCCAAGTGAGTTGCGAGTGTTCGATTTCGTTCCCAAGCAATTCACGAAAGGCAGCTTCAGCTACCTGAGTTCAAAGGGGGAACTTCTTTCGTTTCCTCCGGTGAGTTAGCCGTCGGGATCTGAGTTAGAGTTGGGAGGGGGATGGGAGAGGCAAGGACCGTGCGCTGGCCAGGTCATCGTGTGTTCTCTCCCTCTCTCTCTCTCTGAGTGGTTGGAGTGCATTTTCCTTGTCTTCAGACTTCTTATCTTTGCTTGTGGAGTTGGGAAGCAGAACCAATCGCTTGCTCGTGGTAGACAGGTTGGGCCTGTTTATGAGAACAAACAGGTGTTTTTCACGGAACTTCTCGTCTGAAAGATTCACATGGGTTTCTGTCAGTCAGTCTATAGATATACACCACACCCTAGTTGGACCACCTAGCGAAGGGACCCCAATCTTGGTGCATTGGATTGATTGATTCCAAGGTGAGACAATCTCATTACGAGTGGGGATCATGACTCACAGCATCTCAATGCTCTGGAGGTCATGGACCTTCAAGTTGGTCAAGACGGCGATCCTCGGACCTGAGACGGCCAATCGTGTCTTTTGTTGAATTTTGGGTTAGCAAGCTGTGTTTCCAACCCACTTGTGCAAAAAGATATCAAGAGCAATCGCAAAAGCCATATATTATGCTTATACTTCAAAAGTTCCACCGGGCCCCCTACTTTTGCCATTCGCTCAGATGGTCCTTGCTCCTTTGTGTTCATAGTCTACTCTGGACAACAAAACAACCAGGATACTCCGATACACTGGCACAAACACAGCTAGAGTCCTGGCAAGAGTCCTTTAGAGGTAGCCAACACGCATTTCGAAAATTTTCAGATTGCTGAGCATCCCTGAGGCGTTCAGGTTCCTTTTAATGCTGGCGCACACCATCAAAGCGCAGACCTCAGAGGAATCAACTTTTATGAAGGGGAACCGGACATTACCCTCCTGAACCATTTAGCTATAGCCTCCTAGTAAGCACCTGCTAGAGGAATAGCTTGCCCAACCTGTGCTAGTTTCTAGTTAGCTTGGGGTGTTAGCTTCTTCTTGGCTTCCTCATCGAACAGCGTCAGATCCAGGCACCAGAAGACCGAAAGCAGATGAGGGAGATCCTGCTGTCTGTGAAAAGGGCCAAGGCACGTCATCACAATGTGAATTGCGTAGCGCGCGAGCTTAGCAGGGCTTAGGAGGGCTCTGGGATTGTGCTTAGGAGTGCTTAGGAGTATGCTTAGGCGGGCTGTGCTCAGGAGAGCTGAAAAAACGATAGGTTTTGACAGATGCCTTGTAAAAACGATAGGTTTTGACTCAACAGAGAGCAAAGGAAATGGACGAGGAAGAGCAAGAGGAAAAGGAAAAGGAAGGGCGGATTCCGCTTCCAAACGCTGAAAGAAACGATAGGTTGTCATTCAACAAAGGGAAAAAGGAAAAGGAAAAGGAAGAAGAGAAGAAAAGGAAGAGCGAGAGGAAAAGGCAGAGGAGAAGAAGGGCGGATTCCGCACAAAAACGCTGAAAAAACGATAGGTTTTGGGGAAGGGCAAGAGGAAAAGGAAGAGCAAGAAGAAGAGGAAAAGGGAGAGCAAGAGCAAGAGGAACACGAAAAGGAAGGGAGGGATTCCGTGTAAAAACGTTGAAAACCGATAAGGTTTGATTCAACCGAGAGTGCAAAAGAAATGGATGGGGAAGAGGAAGAGCAAGAGGAAAAGGAAAAGGAAGAGGAAGGACGGATTCCACTTCAAAACGCTGAACAAAACGATAGGTTGTCATTCAACAAAGGGAAAAAGGAAAAGGAAAGGGAAGAGGAAGAGAGGAAAAGGAAGAGGAAGAGGAAAAGGAAACGGAAGAGGAAGAGAAAAAGGAAGAGGAAAGGCAGAGGAAGAGGAAGCGGAATGAAGAGGAAAAGGAAAAACAAATGGACTACCACCACTATCATTTGTACTACCAACGGCGGCTTCTACCACTACCAGTACTATTGCCACAACAAAAACAACAATAACTACTACTACTACTACTACTACTACTACTACTACTACTACTACTACTACTACTACTACT